AAATGTAGGTTTTTCTTGTAATTGGGGTTTTGTAATCACATAGACTGCCATGTGAAGAGGAAGAATGGCATAATGGGGACATTATTCTCAGCTACTTTTCTTCTTGCAAAAGAAAATATACGTGTAATTCTATTTTTCCCAAGCTGCTTTGGGCTAGCTTGAGGTGAAAGGGCTAAGTATACTCTTCCATTTCAGATTTCAATCTCTGTAGTTGCATTTTATAAACAAAACAAAGGAAAAAGGTGAGCCTTGGTGTCCTCTATTTTTTGGGGAACTTCTGTGACCTTCTCTTTTTATCTTTTATAGAGAAAATGCCCTGTTTATATTTTAGGATAAAAGAGGTTCTGTTGGAGAATATTCCTCAAATCTTTTGCTTAAGATATAAACTTAATTTATGGCTTTATCTCCCTAAGAAATACTGCCAGGTGGCTAAAGACTGTTAGAATCTGCACTTAATACCCCTTTAGCCCTCTTTCTTTGGTCACATAATTTCTGTACTTTGTTTCAAATAGTGAGATATTTTGTCTGGGGACTCTCTAGTTCATTTATATTTGGCTTATAAGTGAAGAACTAGTATAATGTTATTGTGGATATTAAGTATAAATTATAATAAATATAATAAATTATAATAATTATAATAAATTATAATAATGTATAAAATAGCATATTCTATAAAGCAAATCTAAATTAATGTTGCAGCCAGGTGCTATTCTTTGTCATTTGCTATTTGATTCAATGGATATGCAATTCTGTGAGCTGGTTATATTTCGATCATTGGCTGGCACTTTGAAGGAGTTTCCACAAAGACCCATAGTCATCTTCTTGAATGGAAACTATATCATAAAAATAGAAGAATATGAGATGAGAAATGGATGTTGTTTTAACACTTTCCATAGCTTCCAAGAGGGAGGTTAGGGTGACTAAATAAGTCTTTTCCATCCCTGAGATTCATTAATGTTTGACAAACATTCTGCCAATGTAAAGTGCAATATAAATGCTAAGTGACGTAAACTCCTTCTAGTGCTAAATCATTCTAATTCACAATTCAGTGTGAGACAACCGTGATTTATTTAAGAGAGCCATTTAGCGCTTTATTGATAAGAGCTTTTAATACTGAGCTTCCATTCCAAGACTGTGCTTCAGCAAGCTTTTGTAGCTTTTCCTAGCTAATAAATTTATATCACTTCAGCACCTAGCATTGCTGAAGTGATAGAAAGGCTGTCTTCATTACTGTAATTTTGGATGCAGCAATGATTGGGTGACTTAAAAGAATGTTATAAGTTGCTAGTGGAGAAAAGTAAGTCTTCCCGACACAGCCTGTTAAGTACAGCTAGGTAGGCCATTGTCATCTCTTCTGATCTATGGTTCCATTGCCATCACTGCTTTCCCTTTTTATTAGGCTGCTCTTATATATCATTTTTCACTTGGGGAACCAATATCTCTTGTGAGTACTGAACAAGAGATGTAAGAAACTGATGTTGCCCTCACTTCTCCTCTACTTGTTGGCTCAGCTCTTTTCTATCTTCACTTTTTGTTAAAAAACTTATTTCTGAAAAGTTGTTTTCTTGTGAAAGTAGGCTTTTCCCTCTCTTCCTATTATGCTGTTTTTTAATTCAGTATTCCCCTTTCAGTTATGTATTTTCTGTACATATGATAACACATGTTTGGTAACACTACTATCGGTATATCACTGATGACTGGTGATATTAAAAGGTTTTTGAATTTTAACCAAAGGTTTATTGTGGTCATAAACCAGCACAAGTGCAACTAGACACAAATTGGGATGGGGGAACTAATAACAATATTTCTGCAATCTTATTTTCATTGTATTGATGGTTATTTTTGTCCTCTGCTGTTTTGTTAAAACCTAATTTGCTGTTTTTCACAGAATTAATATCGAAAGGCTCCTTCAAATTGAACTCAGCTCCTGGTGACTTCACAGATACAATCATTTAGTTTTTCTTAACAACAATATAAAATGATGAGTAATGGCCTTCTATTAAGATTTTGCTTTTGTTTGAAAAACACTTTCTTATACACCTAGGATTTCTTGGTTGTCTCCCATCCAAGTTAAAATTTGGTCCCTAGTTTTTTGCATTAACAGAACTAAGCCATTTCAATTATCTCAAAGACTTCCTTAAAATTAACAACAGTATGATATTTTCATAAACTGGGCTGCATAGTAAGTGATGTGTGATGTAATTGAAACATTCAGTGTTTTGAAGAAAGATCTTCAATCATTTCCAAAATATCCCATTGAGAAACACCAACTACATATATTGTTTAACAACAGCATCAGCCAACCATAACTTAATATGATTTTACTAATTGAGTTAATCTAAATTATTATATTCAGTGGCATGATTGACCAATTATAATACAGATAGTCTTTGGCAAGTAGGACTAGAGTTGCAATTTCTAAACAACATGGTCATAAAGTGTAATATCATGTGATAATGTTGCTTAGTAAAGGCAGTTCTTGTTGCCATCATTAAGTGAAGACTACATGGATTGTTAAGCAAGGACCTCAAGTGATCATGACTTTTGTCTTGTGCTGGCTTCCCCACTGATTTTTCTCATGGGAAACCAGTAGGAGATGTTGGAAATCTTAGTCACATGACCACAATTGAAACTGCAATGTCATAATTGTGAGCTGTCCAAACTGTGACCACATTATTGCAGGGGTGTTGCAATGGCTGAGACTCTAAGGGCTGGTTTTAAGTCCTCCTTAGTCAGCACCATTGTAACTTTGAATGGTCACTGAATGAATGGACAAAACCTGAGGATTTCCTGCAATGATTCTTAGTCTGGATCTGAAGGTCATTTGATACTTTGGGGTTGATTGCTTAAACTGTAGCATTGGTTCTCAATGAGTAAAATGAAATGGGAGTGATCTATTTCAGTCAATGAAAAAAGATATCACCTGCTCAGAAATATAAAGATTTAGGTTGGGGCATCAATCTAAATATTGTCAATAATGATGTACTGTGGAATTACTGCTGTGGAAATGAAATGTTGGTTATAAATTTTATTATGCTTCATTATTAATTGACTATATGGTCTCTAGGCATACAAACTTATACAAAGTCAGGATTTTTTCCTAAAATTTTCATTCCAAGTTCTCCCTGTGAATTTTGATGGTAAATATTCTTCAGGTTTTGTTCCCTGCTGAAAATTTCTTTAGACTTTCTGCATATCTGACATTCAATTATATTTGATTTTCAATAGTTGACTATTTGTTGGTATTTTGCAGTAGTCGACAGCTGATGCACTGAATTGATATTCAGTGATTCTTAATATTTAAAAACATTTGAAAAACCCATATTGTTCTTTTTATTTACCCATGTTTCGTATTGCTACATCTCCACAAAAAAAATTCAGGATGTATTTTATGGAATGACTCCAATTCTTATAGACACAGTTTTGGGGTCAATATTCTCAGTTGTGCATTGAGAATATCCTGGAACACACCTCACATTTATATGTTGCTATGTATTGCCACAGAATATTAGTAGTGAGGCATGTGAAATCTCCATCTCTAAGAGAAAAAGTATGTGTGTCTGTGTGCATCTCTCTCTCTGTGGAGAATTCTCAATAGCTTACAAAGAACTCAGAATTCATTGAAATGTGCCCATTGTTATATCATATTTCATAATATTTGATTATGAAAATGTTATTGTATTAATATTAGACACTATTTAGTGTGTAATGTTTTTCCTGGACAGTGTTTGATAAAAAAATGCAATGGCAATAAATATTTACTGGTTGCAATTTGTTTGATATGAGAATTAAAGCATAAACCATTCAACTGTAGCAATTAAGAAGATCTCAGGTTGAAAAAGTCAAAGTTGTATTTTGTTGGGTTTTTTTGTTCAGAAGCTTGAATAAAAAAACATGAAACATCAGATTTCAGATCAAGAAGACTTTTAGAAACTAAAAAGAAGCTAATAGTATTAGTCTGAGTTTCCTTTAATGTAGACCAATATAGAAGTAGAGATTGTACATGCAGAAACTTCATTATTTCCTTCTGTCATGTCAACAGAAAAACAAACAATCAAAAAATAGTCAGAACAGTGGGCTAAGTTGATCCCACTGCTGAGATCAACAAATCAGAGTTTCTAAAGTTGAAACTCAGAGGACACTGTTTCTAATTTTTGGGACAGCAAAACAATTGTCTAGTTACTCCCATTATAAATTGAGCTAGATTTCCAGTCTGTAATAAAGTATGTAATAAAGCTACTTTCTTTACTGAGCTTTAAAAACATTTCTAACACTGTCAGCCAACTTTTATAACCACTGTAATTGGTATCAGAGCTGACTTACAAAAATGCAGAATCTGGAAGAGGCTGCAGCTAGTATCCTTATTAACAGCCATAATAACATGAAGGACAGAGAAGGATGGCTAAGGTGGCATCATGCAAGCACAGAACTGGTAACCTGCCAGTTGTCTGTTTTATAAAAGAGGCAACTGGAGACGCAGCCCACATGCAGACTCCAAATCTCTTATTTTATACAGCCCACCGAGCCTCTTTTGATCAAACCTCCAGAAATCGGTTAGTCTTCTCTACCTACAAACATAAAAAGCCACCTGATGTATGCACCCAAAAAAGAAGAAGTTCAACTGAAGGGAAAAAAAACCCCAATTCATCCTTAGGATGTTGACTCTCATTTATTTTAGCTAACTGGGCAAATGGGAGTGGACTGTAAATATTGTAGTCTAACATGCCTAGAAGTGCTGAGTTGGATATTCCTGGTCTAATTTTCTTCCTCCATTATAAGGGAGTGATTGATATGGTCAGATCTGTGAAAACAAATTATGACTTAAATCTGGCGGAACTCCTTAAATACAATTGTTAATTTATCTGTCTTTGGTCTGAAACATTATAAGTTCCATTGTTTATTTAGTGTTTCTAATCTATTAGAAAAGTAGGACATGGTTTAGGGACATCTAAGTCTTGTTCTGCTGTTTAATGTTGTGATTTCTCTTTTTATTTTCACAGATTCCTCAGATAAGCTATGCTTCTACAGCCCCTGATCTGAGCGACAACAGTAGATATGATTTCTTTTCTCGCGTTGTCCCCTCTGATACTTACCAAGCCCAGGCTATGGTAGACATTGTTAAAGCATTCAAGTGGAATTATGTTTCAACTTTAGCTTCTGAAGGGAGCTATGGTGAAAGTGGAGTAGAAGCATTCATCCAGAAATCCAGGGAGAATGGTATGTGAATTTATATCCTTATAAAGATGGGCTATATGGATAATAGAACATCTTGACATAGATGAATGGAATTATCTTTAAATGCCAGACTTGGAAGTCACAGAATGTCATTACAAAGCTTCAGCATAATGTATCTACAGACACTGTGTTGAAAGTATTAATTGAATGAATAATTGGTCCCCATTAGATATATTGAATAAAAAATGATAACGTATGAAGGAGACAAGAAAGTTATTGTTATAAATTGGGGTTGCTCAGAAGGATCTTTGGAAGAGTTATATTTCTTGAAATGCAACCAATTGCTGTCTTAAGGTATTTAAAGTGGTGATAACAAATAGATCTAACAAGTGGGTATACATTCTATTTCCTGTCATAATTCAGCTGGACATTGTCTATTAAATAGAAGTTCCCCTTTATGCGGACATGCTGACTTTTAAAAATGTTTTATTGCTATGTGAACAGAAAAGTGATTATATTAAAACAGCCATAATAATTACTTTATTTTACTATTGGCTTTCTCTCATCCCCAACCTATGGGTGAGGCTATTTAAAATCATCCTTAGTTGTTCCAAAGTTACAACAATGTTTCCCTCTTCACTGGTATGTGATAATGCAGTTGATGAGATGGTTCTGACCAGGTATTATTGGCTACTTCAGGTTGATGTGAACATATCCCCTCCCTTCTATTTATTGGGACTACCTTCCTTAGGCAGTTTGAGTTTGGTTGGAGAGACAGTGAACACCTGGATTTCTTAAAGTCATCTGATTCCATAAGATCTTTCAGGTCTTATGCAGGCTCCTTATAAATCTAGGTTTGTTCTTCTGAAAGCATAATACACCTGCTCTATCCTATGACCTGCTTTATACATGTAAAATGCTAACCATGTTATTTAGGGGCATGTGTGCCAGAAAACCAAATCCCACCAACACTGGCAGAGTAAGTTGCTGCTGCATATAAACAGGGAGAAAACCTCACACTCCCTAGTATTGAAGATGTTACCTAGTTGGGTTATGAAATGTCTGGAAGCAAACAATCAAGTTCAGAGAACACCAAGGATTCCGTAGTTCAGTCCTGAGCTACAGTATGTATATTCGCTTCTAGTGTACATCTTTTTCATATTATTCTTGTAAGGTGTTATTTTTAATTCCATATTCGAAGCAGCTTCGGTATCAGTCTTATCCTCTTCTCTCATAGCTTTTAAATCCTTTTTTAAACGATGACAGATAATCTTAAAAGTGATTTTTGAGTGCATTGTTCCCAAATATCCTTGAATTCTTCCAAAGTTAGAATACTTTGCTGCATTCTATATTAGTTAAAGATTAATTATAATCTTTGATTCTTTCTGGTTCCCCCTAGTTTCCAACTTTCAAAATCCTCTATTATCATTTTCCCCCTAATCAAAAACATTTTCCCACAGGAAGCGTAGTGACACTTAATTTCAAAATCTTCATATTTTTTATCAAATTTAAACAACCCACAGAAAGGGTTCTTGTAATTAATTTCAAAATCTTATTACAAATCCATATGGCCACTTAATCCATTTATAACTTTCCAAAATCATCGTTTTGCTGTTTCTTCAAAATAAGAATTTTTAAGTCCTTAGACTTAAAAATCTCTTTCACTGAGGATAGAAGGCAACTTATCTTGTGTAATAAAACATGTCTTTCTGAAGGTTCTTAATATCAAAAAGAACAAGCAATTTCTAGAAGTGATTAAGAAAAGTATATGAACCAGGTATCCTTTTGAAGGCTCTGAACTACAGCTTGAGCAATGATGGGGGTTTTTTTTGGTTCTCAGAATATTATAATCTGCTGTAGATTCTGTTTATGGTCCGTTAGCAGGGAGTCACTGTATTGAGTGCTATGGGATTGAGTGGGCAATCCCACAACTTCTCCTTGTTCTGGAGAGGAATTTGAAGGAGCTTTTGTGGCTCTTTGTTCTACTGAAATAGTCAGTTCTGTTCTCTATGGAGCTATCTTCAGTCCACTTATTTGATCAAGGTTAAAATCTATGTGTTGTTTCTGTTAGCTCTTAATGGATTTTTCTTGATCAGTATTGAATGATAGGCTTTAAAGATTTGTTCATAGATAAGAGGTAAGATATGAGAAGAAGAGATTTTTTGTTGTATTTTTTTTTAGAGAAAGTGGTAAGCTATTGTGTTAAAAGTAAAGAAATATAGAACTGGTTTATTTGATTAAGGTTAAAATATATATGTTATTTCTGTTAACTTTAAATGGACATTTGCTGACAATGACTGAATGATAAGGTTTTAAAATTTGTTTATAGATAAGATATGATAGGAAAGGATTTTTTGGTTGTAGTATCAGAGAAGGTGGTAAGTTATTGAAATTATATTTGTCTTGATGAACCAAGAAATCATTTCTTTATATATCTTTTTCTTTATTATACCTTTTATTTTTCCCTTTCTCTGCACTTTTTAAAATATTTTTATTAGTTTGTATTAATTTTTAATCTAATCTTTGTATATGTAAACTAATAAATGTATTATAAAAAGCATAGCTTGCATAAGATACAGTTGTTGTCATATTTTTATTATCTTCATTCTTGAGCCTTTAAGAGTATTTCCTTGCCATAAATAGCTTAGTCTACTAAATTTCTGTAGGTAAGGTTGCCACTTAAAGCATCAGAATAGGGTTGATATAAAAGATGGCAATTCAGCCATGGATACAGACAGACCTTGGGAGAATTTGTACAATTGCTTTTCAGCTTCCAGAGATTCTTTGACAAATGGGATTGGTTCTTTAAAAGGCTTTGTTGATAGATATTTGTGCGTGTGGTTTGCTCTTCTCTCCCCATCTGCTATATTAATCAGAAGAGGTATATTTTCCAACCTTGTGCAAAAGCATCTGTGTTTATATGTTTATATAGCACATCAAGCTTCATGTAATTGCTTATTTTTAAGGACCACATAGTGTCCAAATGTTAGACATTGACAATACCCTGCAGATATAATCCTGCTATAAATCTTTCCTAAGCTCTTTTAATTGCACAGTCTAGGCTGGATTCATTAATGCAACTATTTGCAATAGAGTTTGCAGGCCACTGCAGAGAGACAGAGAATTATGCTAGAATTTGTCCCAGATACTTGTAATATCAGTGGGCAAGTATCCCAAGGTCAGGGGCTGAAACACAATCCATTGACCACCACTGAAACAGAGATAATATTATCAAAAGGTATAATATCTAATTTTAAGCCATTTTTTTCTGTAGTTTAGGGACAATCTAAACCATTCTCCTTTTCCATTGTTAAAAAAAAAATATCTCCAGCTGACTGTTATGAGGAAATGAAAAGGTAGCAATGCATAGACATCCACAATAAGGCACAATGATGGAAAAATGGTAATATATATGTGGTCATGACACAATGCAAACCCCAGGTATACATACTTGTTTCCTGACATCTGATGTGTCATGATGAATTGTTGTTCTACAAAAGTCCACATGGAAATGTAGTACCTTTAACTTCTACTTTCATTTTTGTATTTGGAGAAATCCTTTTGCTGACACTATCTATGAATGCTGAGAGCCTCAAATAGGATGGGGGGATTACTCCCCCCCAAAATCAAATCTGCTATCAAAATAATTAGTCTTTCTTAGAGAGGCATAAATATACAAACCAGTGAGTGTGTAAATTCCACATCTTTGAACGTTATAGAATGTTAAGTTTATGGAATCAGCTACTTTGCCTCAATAAGAAATATAAGAGAAGCATAAAATGCAACGGACATGGGATTCATCCCTTGTAGGAATTACAGACACCCGGAACACAGGATCAGGTCATGGTTAAATGTGTGTATGTATTTTTCTTCTCTTTCATTTATTCCTTTGACCAAAGTTTGATGCCAGTGGATAAAACTTTATGTTTGATTATTTATGGTGATGCTTAAATTAATTATTTTCCTAACATAGGAACCTGTATCCAAATTTTGGAACTTATAGTTAAAAATTTTTTTGAGGTGGTATAGAACTGCACATTCTTTGTCTCATCCTATATTTAACTATTTCCACAACATTTCTTTCCTTCCTTCCTTCCTTCCTTCTTTCTTTCTTTCTTTCTTTCTTTCTTTCTTTCTTTCTTTCTTTCTTTCTTTCTTTCTTTCTTTCCATTTCTGAACTGCCTATAGCCATCGAAGAGCGACTCTGGGTAGTGTACAATAAAGCATTAAAATATAAAACAGTATAAAAATTAAAATGCTAAGAGTTAAAATTTTAAACCTAATCCTTAATATGAATGGACAGATAACTTCTAATGAAATTCATTAATTCCTGCTGTATAAACCTTATAAATTCTTACAATACTCTACATTTCAAGAATCTCATAGAGGGTTTTTTTTAATCTACTGTGGGAGTATGCAACTTCCATTAGTTTCAGGACAATATACATATAAATAGCATAGCAAGGGTGGAACTCCATAATTCAATTTTGGGAGAGTTTGAGTACCTAAACTATAAACCTTAAGATGCCCTATTCTCTTAGTCCTCAGCGAACTCTAAAATAAATATCCCCCCCTGCCTGAAAAAAGGAAAAAAAATAATGCCAAAAGTTAGGTGGGATTGTGGAGACTGCAGAAAAGATACTAACAAGCCATGCTTTATACATTCCCATTATGTTCCACTTTTCCAACCAATGATGTATCATGGTAAAAGAAATCTGAGAACTTAGTGTGGATGCTTACAACTCCAGTAGATGGCACTTCAGTCTTTACTGCTTAATTCATATAGTTTGTTTTGTGGGATGAGCAAAGCTTGCTTTGAGACATTTCAAACCACCTTAATTGTATCATGTCTTAAGAGCATTTCTGCACTAGGGATTGATAGTGTCATCCAGCCCTCCTTGTGGCAATATACAACACAAATCAAGACAGACTTTATATTGCCCCAGTGATGGCTGGGTAGTATGATAAACTCACAGCTTGGTGCAGCTCTGCTTTAGTGAGTATCATACATACATACGTACGTACGTACGTATGTATGTATA